CCATAATGCTCACAAAACAGTATATAGAGAGCTAAAGTTGATTGTCAGATGTTAATTGTGTTCTAAGTCTTAAAGGTATATATGGGGGGGGGGTAGGTTCAGTTGGTAGCCAAGCAAATTGTAGGGAAGATTGTTTCTTAGGCCTGTTCATTGTTGGTGCATTTTCTTTTTCTCAGCCTTGGGAAACCATTTCTGAAGAAGTGAACACAAGTGGTGATTCCTTAAGCCTGTCCTTGCCACCCCCACCTGCTTCCCCTGTCTCTCGGACCAGCCCTCAGGAGTTCTCTGAGGAATTGAACAGAAGACTTCAGATCACTCCTGACTCAAATGGGGAACAACAATCTTCTATGATTGTAAGGGACTTGAACACTTCTTTTACTACTCTTCTAACATATTCATTCTGATTTGTATCACTTACTTCAGAGTCAAAGTAACCCATAATGTTGTGTGTGCATGGGGCTTCAGGCTACAAGGGTGTGTGTGTGTTCCTCTTAGTTTAATTAAAATTATTGGATCATTGTACAATGCACCATGGTTGTGATGCAATGCATACTTACCTGGGGGCAAATTCCACTAAATTCAATCTTCAGCTAAGCCAGTGTTTCTCAACCTTGGCAACTTTAAGATGTGTGGTCTTCAACTCTCAGAATTCCCCAGCCAGGATGAATGCTGTCAAAGTCAAAAAACACTGAACTAAGCAAGAAACTGAAAGCAATTTGACCTGAACTTAGTAAGCCTACCTTTGAGTAAAGACCATAACTGAGTAACAATATTTATGTTATTCTTTGTGTCTTGGAACTTCATTTGGAAGAGATGTTTATTCTTAAATGTAACTTCAGCGAACTGGACTAAGAAAGTAGAACTTCTCTGAATGCTTCATTGAGATAAGTAAACATGTAACTTCAGCGAACTGGACTAAGAAAGTAGAACTTCTCTGAATGCTTCATTGAGATAAGTAAACATGTAACTTCAGCGAACTGGACTAAGAAAGTAGAACTTCTCTGAATGCTTCATTGAGATAAGTAAACAAATAAACACCAGGTGGAATTTTATTTTATTTTATTTTATTGTTTAATTTACTTTTAAAAGCTATGTCCATATAGTAATTTTAACAGAAACTATTTTCATGTATAAATATGGCCAAAGGATATAACTGGGTAATTTATACTAAAATCTGTATATTGGGATAATTATGTTAGTACATCAAAAACATTTTTGCCTGTTCCCCTAACTCAGTGATTGCATTAATGGGATAGGATGAATATCATCAGGCTGGTAATATCAGGGAGTGTAAGAATTGCACTAGGCTGTTTTAATTATAAAGGAAGCCAAACAGTTTTAATCAGAGATTGTTATATAAGAAATTGCCATAAATAGGCTTCTGGGGAAGAAATGGCCGATTGAACACGGCTCTGTTCTTTGTGGAGCCAATGCCCACGGCAGTTAGAGGAGTCCAACTCTTCAGAATCATCTCTAAATAAAAGAGATTGGCAGGATTACCCACAGGTACTTATAGAGATTCCCTGCGAAGAGATTGCAATCTAGCAATCTCTACCGGGTGGGGCACTCTGGAAGTCGAGGGAAACACCGAGCCCAAGTCATGGTGCTGAGCCTTCTGGAGGACCCTAGATTTGCTTTACTTCCTCTGTTAACTAACATCGTAAACTGCCTATTTATGATTTATTTGGCAATTAAAAACCTCCTGAAAGACAAGTTGCTGTACACCGGGAGAATTTCCTACTATCCTAGGAGAAAGAAGATCAAAGTAAGTTTAACGATAAAAAAGAAATATTTTAACATTTGGAAACAGCAAAAGGGAATTAAGAATGTTGATTGGGGACAGTTAAGAGGCTAGATGGATTTG